TACTCGATGCCGATGAACCCAAGACGATACCAAAATTATGATTGACCCCTTTTTTTCGTTTCACTCACAACATGAATATAACATTTACAAATACAATGATAAAACGAAAACCGATTTTGATTACGACGCCGTTGCCGGTTGTTGCAACGGTCGTTACGAAAACGATACTGATAAACGACGTCGTGCGTAACAATTTGAATACTAATACTAATGATACGGTGCCAATTGGCGCTAATTAACATGCATAATATGTTACGTAATAGCGTACCGGCTGACCTTGAACTTGAAACGATCAACATACCGGCCCCCGTTGACCGGAACTGTCAACCGACCCATCACCTGTTATGTGGGTTATTGGTGCTAACTTGTGAATTGGTCTACGCATTTCTCCATTACTGGTTTTTAAAGTAACTGCTCTTATGAGTCCATTAGGACCAGGGTAAGTTTGTATAATTCGTGCCATCTTCCAAGTCAGTGGGGGTTGATTATCCTCAATAATAATGACAAGGGCACCTGGTACTAAATTTACTTGGTCAACTTGCCATTTGCTTCGTTTTTGCAATGTGTTGAGGTATTCCAATTGCCAACGATTCCATATGTTTTGTGTCATCTGAGTTAACATGTGCCATCTTTTCCGACAACATTTTAGATTTGTTGCAGTATGATCAGGAAATGCGGTTAAGAGGGCGTGATACCCAAAGTGTTACGTATGCAACGGCCGAGAGAACGCGCTATTAGGTGTTTTCGGGATCCGCAAGCGCGCGACGTCTAAGCCACGCCCACTACTCGCAGTCGGCGGCACTACAACTGGCACTGCTCATTCAGCGCGTCTCGGGAGCGCCGATTATTATTTCATGAACGTTCGACTATGATGTATCCCATCAATATAAAATTCACACAGTAAACGCCGYGGTATTATTTGTAATATTCGCGCGTACCCATTCGAACTATCTTTTTTGAAAAGTTACTGCTTACCTAAATATATGCACCAATATATATAGACTGTAAAAACAGTAACACAATATAGCTTAGTTTGTAGTTATTGCACTATTACTCATTCAAATATAATACATACAGTAAAATATAATTTAACAGTACCTAAACAAATACATCTTTTACGTTCAACTGTTCAATATTAGATTATTTTTAACTACAGCATAATTTGCATTTTCCCATTTCTTAGCATCTTTCGGTTTATTAACAACTAAACTTAAAAAAAAAATATTATACAAAGTAGTTTACAAATTAGTATTACATGTATAAAAAAAAAATGTATATTATGTACAACTTGTAGTTATTATGAAGACTAAATTTTGTTTTTTTTATTTTTCATAATTTTAATATTTTKAATTATGTGAGGAGGTTCAATAATGTCGCTTTTTAATTGACGTTTGCTGTACTGAGGGTCTACTATTTCTCGTAGTAGACATTCCTCGTAAAATCTATATAAAAAAACAGTATGCATTTTTCAAAATTGTTTGATTAGGTAGGTACATTTTAATATTATACTGACAACTTTAAGGAGGATTCCATTTTTAAGGTCCAAAATTCATTGTCATAATTTATTGTTTGAATATAAGTCCATTTAGAAGTGTAGATAAAAAAATAACATATCACACGTTCTGTAATGTGTAACTGCCCTTGAATTTGGTAAAAATAGTGACTATCTTCTTTTAAAGTTATAGCATCATTTTTAACTTGCATGTACGGTAGCTAAAGCAACAATAAATTAAAAATTCAAAATAAGGCATATGTAATTTATATAATATAGAATTTTTAAAAATAGTTATTGGTTTATAGTAATTTGTTA